ATGAGAAATGTGCGACATTGTCTAATCTAATGCATACTTGCCACATATCTTAATTAACAATACAAAAATGAATGAAAGTAATAAATTCCAATACCTGCGCTAGCTGTTGCAAGAAATGCAAACGAAACAAACCAGCAATTGCAACCAAGCATCTCAGTTGCCTCAAATTGTCATCATCAGGAAAAATACGCTTCTATATGACAAAAAAAAACTGAAACTGAAATCGATCTATATAATTTAGTTATGCTATTTACAATAGAACCTTATATTAGCATTGCAAAACTCGAATAGATTATAGTCATATGCTGCCACAATTATAGTACTAAACTCCAAACAATACACATTATAAGTATATGTTTCACACCCCACGCACTACGGATTTGACATCATTGAGAGGTTCCTGGTGATATATATACAGATGACTTAGGACTAAGTAGATTAGCTCAATAATTAGCATTAGCTGGCAATAGCAATAATTAGTAAAAAAAAAGTGTAAAATATATAAATAACAGTACAACCAAATCCCCGTGGTATCGTCGTTAACATTGCCATCGCACGTAAACAGGAGCAAAAATTACTCAGTTAACCGAACAGAGTTCTCTGAAAACTACAACAAACGATCATTAATGTGATAATTGTGATTCCATATGAACATTTATCAACTCATTATTGATGTTATGGAAAGACTATAGCAGCCTTCGAATCTTACATTCCCGAAACTAAGCAATAATAAATTACATGGAATGACTTTCTTCGATGGATCAAAAACATTCCAGACTACCTGGAGGTAAAGCATTAGGATATGACAATATTCTAATATATAGGATCGGTAAGTATGTTGATAAGTGTTTGTCTGTCTGTCTGTTAGATGCACGCGATATATCACGAAAGCGAGGTTCAATCTGTTCGCAATTATATGTGCATTCATCATTGCTCGGACCACAAGCCTATTGATTTTAGATGAATTATGTCGTGTAATTAGCGAGTTATTGATTAATTAGTGATGGGACACGCGGTGTCACTATAGGATCAGAGTAAATGAATGGGGGCTCCCCTAACTTTCGATCGATAAGTCTTCGGTCTCTGACCGATATTTTCGTTTTTCTTTTGCCCAGTTATATAGCCTAGGCAGCATGATATTGTAGCAAGCAGTTGGGCATACTCCACACTCCTTCGTAGGCGGATAATGCCTTCTTGCAATACAGAAATGATTAGGGCTTGGAGATTCAGGGAGAACACTTTAACCGTTAATCGGGTAAAATTAACCGGTTAATCGCAGTGTGACGTTTCACGCATTAATTTACAATTTAAACTTGTTACGTCACAATGATTCCAAAGTATTTTCGCGTGATCTTATTCAGGTATCACTCAAAATTATTCACGAATCGAGGTAGTTTCATGATCGCTCTGCGATTAACCGTTAACCATTCCCAGCCCTAGAAATGATGTTTTGTATTGTGGAACTGAAATAATTAAACTTTACTATTTTCATAAATTTGAGATAGTGAAAGTTATGCGCCAGTATTTCGACGACAAACTGCCAAAGACATTTGCCAGGCAAACTAATGTCATTTCGTATTGCACACGATCTGCTACAAAAGGCAGATTTCCATGTCTCAAGAAACTCGTAATGTAGAACGCAAATATGCATTAAATCCATGGATGTAAATTTGTGGAATAATTTCCCCAAGATTCATAGGATCACTGTCAAATCATGGTTTAAAACAGTGGTTCCCAAATGTTTTTTTTTCACGACTTCAATTTTCCTAAAATTAAAGCCTACAGATACTCGGGACCCCCACAACTATAAACATCAGGCAACTTTAAAAATTAGTATATAAGTTCACTTCGATATACCTGTATATCGACTGCAAGTGGACGTTGACGGTGAACATTGGCCCAAAAATATATATGAACGAGTCCGACAATGCGCCGGGAAAACGGGGAAACCTCAGAAGAGTTGATAACACATGGCTTCGTGTGCAAACTGCGGTGCAAAAATCTCTCAAATCAGAATTATAACGGTTTTTCGAAGAAACATGGACGGAATTGATAAAATGTGGTAGATTGTAAGGAAGCGTATGATTCGGAAATAGTAAGATTGCCTCTAAATATACATAAATTCGAAATCTCATTTAGTATATTTGAAAAGTGTTTTTATTATTTTCATTGCAATACACAATATGAGCATGAAAGTAAAATAGGAAAAAAGTGTACGGAATCACATCTTTTATGTGTCTTTTATTACGCTAGAACAGGGGTGGCTAACCAGTCAGAGACCAAGAGTTGCATTTCGTACTTTAATACCGCGAAGAGCCACATTATAAACAAGAACACACATTAACATCAGATATACCTTTATTCAACTGTTCTAGTTGAAGCTAGTTTAATGTAAATATCACTAACCAACATGATTATGACAAAAATTTACAAGCCACTTATTATCATGTTTGCTACTCAGTGGTGGGAGTCGTTGTAGCCAATCAAAGCAGTTCTTTCACATGGGTGTCGGTCAGATCAGATCAATGCTTTGATTTCACGTCTTTTAGGGTAGAAAACACAGATACGCAGACGTATGTTGACTCAAACATTGATAATACCCTATGCGCAGCTCATTTGACATTGGCGTATTTTTCGCATTTCAGTTGGTCTTTCTTATAGAGATCACTTGCAGCCTCATCTGAGACAAGAGGAAATTTTAACTATCCGTTAAATCATAATTAATTATAAAGTATTGAAACTAAACCCAGAAAACATGTCTTCAAGCTTATCGCATGCATGAAAAGTTTGTGATTGTAAATATATTTGTACTTCCAGTATATTTCAATTTTGCGAATTTTCACATGAACACGCATTGCTTGAATGGCTATATTAAACAGTATCAATCAAATAGGATTTTGGTTGTTTTTGTCTTTTGTCTTCCCACAGAACATGAACTCACTCACATCATAAATATTCATTATGAAATAGTTTCTACACAGTACTGTAGATTGTCGGTTATAATATGATTCAACAAGAATGTAGAAATAATAAAAAAATAGGGTGCTCCCGGAGTATGCGAACCAAGATGGCGGACATCGGAACGTAACATGGGTAATTTTTTTCCAATTTTCCTTATTTTAGTCCTATTATCAGTTCGAAGACTAGCCAAGAGCCTCCCGTAGTATTTATACCTAAAATTATGACCTAACCCAAACCCAGTACACATATTACATTCCGATGTCCGCCATCTTGGTTCGCATACTTCGGGAGCCCTAAAAATAGTTATTCCCAGATCAAACAAAATTGATATATTGCATTACATTGACTATTATAAAACAGTCTCATATTGGCCAACTGCTATTTCGTATGGATTCCATTCTGAAGGATCAGTGATGTCCTCGTAACCATTTGATGCTTCAGCAATCGTTTCATAAGTGTTTATTGACGTATTCAGATGATGTTGTGTATCAGTAGTACCTGTAATATGTATTTGCATGAAGTTATCGGATACTCAAATATATACATATGTTATATCCCATTTATATTTTCCATTATAATGCTTTATCGATAAACAAGAGTCCACAAGAAATTTTGAACAAGTAAAGTAATAAACTTATCGCAACAACATCAATTTTCAACCACTGAAAATTCCAAAGCCATCGGTCCAGGGGTTTATGATAAAAAGATTTTTTGAATAAAGTTCGAAATGACAAAACGATTCATAGGTACATCCCGTGTATTTAACATATGTCCTATATTGTGGGTGTCTACATAATAATAAAATTAAATTTAACAGAATAAAGTGTTGAGAAACAAGTTATGGAATTGAGCAATTTTCCTAACATATGGGTAACAGTTATCGTCATCAAAAGTCCTGTCGTACATGTGAATCAAATTGGGAGTTGTGATTTGTAACCATGCGATGTTCTTTCAAATAAATTACGCATTTTTTCTTTTATTCATATTAAATTTGTAAATACCTGGGGCCCCATTCACAAAGCTTCGTTACCGCTTAACGTGTTAGTTAAGCACCGACTTTCTCGTGAAAAGCAAAAATGGTATTTCACAGAGCTTCATAAATATTCGAGAGAAATCATTCGAGAGAATTTTTTTGGCGCCAAATGAGTCGTCTCGTAAAGTGCCTTCTGCTCACATTTTACCAAGAATCGGTATTTTCGAAAGTTCTTTAACGCGCTGAAGAGCTCGCTAGCTAACGAGGACAATCTTCGCCTCGTTCGTTAACAGTTCGGATTGCTCTCAGCAGTGATTCAAATTAAAATAGGCTCGTTGAGACGTTAGCATGCTTTGTAAAAATTGGCATAGTAGCAAAAGGCCTTACTCGGGTAAGCGTGTATGTAGTCTAGTGCCGTTAACTTAACTGTGGGATATCTGCCGCATTTACAGATTAAACTAGGGTTGAGATTCAAAGATTGTTCAGTTGTTGAAGTCATTGTTTTTTGTCTATTCTAGCATTGACATACAGTATTATAAACACAGATTCACAAATGGCTGCCGGTACCTATAGTGAATCTTGCAGAAGAAAAGCCCCAACAATCTCTCCATGTCGTATCCGAAAGAAAAAATCCGCTAGATGCAAGTGAAAGGACCTTAATAGAGGACTTAATAGACTTAATAGACTCAATGAAAAATTAAAAATATGGAATCTTAACAAGCTTTGGCAACTCACTGATTTTATTGTCTGTTACACAAGTAGTTCACAATATGTAGTCTAAATTGTTTTGTGCCAATAAATCTCTATTCTGTAACTTCAGCATTTATTCCATGTAGCCTATCCGTCAGTCTATAGATTACGCCACTGCTATATGAACGAAATTTCAAAACGCAGGCTGCAATGTGAAGCAGAGAAAGCCGATAGGTTACCGCGAAGGCGAAACACGCTCGATCGTAAGCGGCGACAACTGATACGGCTGAGTGATCAGTCAGTGCATTTTGTTCAACTGCGACCGTGCGTAAGATTTCGAGAGAACTCTAGTGACTGTGCGTCAAGTGCTTACGAGGTATTTGGTGAAACGCATTTAACGAGATTTCGCTATCACGATTCTAAGAGACACAGTTACGAGATCGTAAACCCGGCTTTTTACGAAGTTTAGCGAATGGCGCCCCTGATCTATGTACACAGAAACGACATCGTCATAAGTAAAGTCGGGATTCTTACCTGCTGATACAGGTTCTATCTTTTCTTTTTTCGAAACGTTCAATGAAATGCTTGAAATAGTTCCATGGACGTCGTCTTTCCTTTTATTATTGCGATGTCTCACATAACACAGACACACAAAAGCAGACAAAACAGCAAGTATTCCTCCAGCTACCACTGCCCAGGTGATATCTGTATGAAAAGCAAAATATAGACTTTAAGTAGTCACATGAAATTTAAAGAATTGAGAGAAAATTTTAAAATAAATCCTCCATCTGTATCAAACTTCTATGTATTTTGTATATTACAATACCACACATTATATATTTAAACAAACTTTAACAATCATATCATAACCTCAAGTGGCCAAACCTTAATTACGTTTATCACGCTTATGCATAGAAATAGTTTTCATGATCAATCTATTGTGTCACAATTTGTGTTGCAATCTAATTAAGCTGAGTGTGTTAGTGTTAATAAGGAATGTATAAAACATTCAAATTGCAAATTTAATTTGATTGTTATCTGAAACAATCTTCCTGATTGAGAGCTTATTTAAAAACGCTCAGCTCACTAAAACGTTGAATAAATAAAATTTTGCATTTAAAGAATTATTTGGTTCGTTGTGTACATTGAAAAATTTGTTTTGTGCTTTTAAGGTTTGTATGTCTGTGTCTAGATGTCTGAAGTTGGTCACATGGCTCGCCAGCAGAAATTATTTTTGTGGTGTTCGCAAGATATTCATTCTAATGTGAATTTTTAATTTCAGCATAAAATTTTTCACTGTTGACAAAGAAACCGAAAGTAAAACTTTGTTTCTTTTTCAATCACCTGTAAAAGATTTGCCAATCAGGAGCCCTTCACTAGCACCAAATGAAACGCTTTCTCTCGTAGGTGTAGAAGTCACAAGAAATATTCTGCAACATACAACGGTGTCATGTAGTTAGTTCATTAACTAAAGAATATATTGTTTATATTTGACTTTTTTATAGTTTTAAATTTTTTTTTTATCCATAGCTATTATGCAAATAAATATCCGATAACTAATATAATCTATATATTCTTTTCATAATAAAATAGCACTAAAGTATTGCAAAAAAGAGCCGGTGTTTCAAATTAATATATGTAAAAGAACGAGGGGTAAGTAGGGCAAGTGGGACTTGGCATTTTTGAACATCCATACAGAAGCAATGAAGTGTAATATTTGAGACACGAAAAATTTATTCTCGTACTTGTAACTTTCAGAGAGTGACAATCTCTTGTTATATGCAACATACGTATTTTTTGAATTATACCCTTCAACACTGTTGGTATTTCCGCTAATGTCACACCTTGTTTTTATTTGATCTCCAAGAATCAGACTTATTTTCGGACGGTTTTGCCCAACGCTTTAAAAGGAAAACATGTATTATACAATGTTTTGGTAAGGCCGTAGCATGTTGTATATATATATATGATTCTGCTTGCTATAAGTTTTCATTTAATAGTCGGCGTTTCAATAAATGCAAGTGTTGACAAATTTATCATTCTAAGCAAATTTGGTTTCCTTTGTATATAAAACAAACCCACCAGAAGGATTGTTATTAGAGTTTTCCAGGATATAATATCAAACTGGCATTATGTGTAATTGTTTTGTTACGCCTACATACACCTAATTAACATAAATTAGAAGCAGCAAATCAGGAAGAAGGAGCAACATGCATAATCCTAACATAATACACTATCCTGAAAAAAACGTTCATGCGTGAATCATACCTGGTTCTGTCCAAAGCTATTGCAATATATTCATCTTCAATTTCTGATTTATCCAGTTTTTTCATACGTGCATTGTTGAAATCAAGCGAAGTGTTGCTTGTTTTGTTGACCTGTACGATGATGAAGTAACAGCTAAAAGTGTATAATGACAAGGTGATGAAAAAATTAGTAAAATGTATGAATAGTTATTACTTTCTTTACAATGTATTACAGTGGAGAAGTACTATTTTTTTCTATTTTCCTTGCGGAATAGTATTTGTCTGATGGTTGATTGAGGTCAACCAGTAACTGATATTTCCAATCCCGCATGTCAGCATAATTAGACCAAAGACAAACTTAGAAGGCATCGCCAGACATTACATTTGACTTATTGTAAGCGTCAATTTGCATCTTTATTCGGCCACTAAAACAACTTTTAATTGGGCGAGAGACATCAAGTATATAATCAAATCACCTTATAGGACCATTTGTTTCATCTGGAATGTTAATTGAAAATTTCAATATTCCAGAATTAATTGTTTTATCCATTGTTGTTGGTGCCTGAATGTTGGATGGTGCTGTAAATTACAAACAACAGTAAAAATTTTATTTCATATATATTTCTATTTATTTATACGCATGTGCATTATGCGATTAAATAAAGTATTATTCTGCGCTATTTGGGTGCGGTATTTTTAAAACTGCACTCTGAATTATTATAGAAAGGGACCTAAACGCAATTGTAACAATAGAATAAGCAGTCCGTCAAATAGCTCAAAAACATATTGCCAATGACATAATAGTCTTAGAACACGAGTGATATTCGGTAATAATTATGTTTCTTTGTCATATTAAGATACAAGAGCCTAAAACGAAATTGTAGAGTAACTAAGGAAATTCTGAATTACCATTAGTATCGGTGACACATTCCCCAACCGCCTTTGTTTCTGGTCCAAACCCTGCACAAGTTTTAGCTTGAATAGAGACATTGTATTTTCTGTTGGAAACTTTTGGAAGAACATATGAGCTTTTCTCAGATGGCAGAAATATTTCATTTATTTTGAAATCATCTTTATAGTATGAAGACACTATGGCTTTTGTTGAGTTGATAAGGAGCTAAATGAGATGATTCGTTTTTAGGTATAATTGTTTTTACAATTCACGTAACATTATTCCCTATCTTTCGGTGTCAAACATAGTCTTAAAGATGAAGTTCAGTTTCGAAGAGTTGTATATGTCAAAACAATTAAACTGAACTAATTCAACTTGAACTACTTAAAATTCTGAAACAAATGACGTTTTCATGTCACATGATTGTCTCTATGTACATAGAGTGATAAAAAATTGTCTTGTCAGATACGCTAAATCATCCACACCGCCAGTAGACAATAAACAGACCCTGAAACTGGATATATATTCCGGGTTCATTACTGTTGACCAAGATACATTGCAAGACCGATCATAAGTCATCTCCAGAATTGGTTTTGTAACAGGACCGGGTAGACCTCAAGTGGTTGCATTTCTGCTAGTTGCATATTGACTGAAGCAAGTTGATGAAGTTGTCAAGCATGGCTCAATCTAAAAGTTTAGAATAAGGTATTTTCAAATTGATAATTTTTCATATGGCAATAGACGTTTGCCACAGAAAGATTGTCGTCCATTCTAAATTTATAAATCATATATCCGAAAGAAATTACCCTAATAATATAAGATGTTGATGATTGCAGACGTGTCACTCTGGACGTCATGGAGACATTATTCGGCGTCGTTAGGAAAACCTTATAATTGTTGATGTTCATAAAATCCATAATCTGAAATCTATGATTTGACGGTATTTGATTATTCATAAAAACAAGCCGGTAAGCGCCCAGGAAATCCGCTGATACATGAAGCGGCGGCATATCAGAAAACCGTTAACATCCACGCAATATTGCACCAATAACGACAGCGTACTTTGTAACGACAGTGAACGGGATATCAAATCTGCCTGTTCAAATATTGAGCTCTGCGCGTCTCCCAGGTATTCTTGGGTGAGCGGTGTACTGCGTCTAATAATGAATCATGAACACTGAAATTCCCAAGGCTTTTCCAGTTTATGGATTACCGAGATGAACATAGTCTTGTTCGAATAGGTATTTACTTCTGCGAGGGGTACCAAACGCACATTATCATGGTTAACAGCAATACTCGTATTGGAAATTTCTGAGCCAATAAGCATAGATGATTTAAAACAAACTGACAACAACTAAACGTATTAAAATTACTTACAAACACCCGTAAAACGGTTAGCTAAATTCAGTATTTTGAATACTGTATTAGTATCTATTAGTGTTCCATTCAGTGTAAAAAATTTTTTGTTAAGATGATATTTTCTTGGTAGTAATTATTATAAATTAGAGTTTTCAAAAATATACCGAAAATTTAGCATTTAACATGTCAGCCTAATTAATACGTTATTCAACTTCAGTTTCTTCGTTTTAATCGTAAGTTTACGTGGGATTTGATATTTCTCATTGAAAACATCGGGTCGTATTTTGTGCCGCTAGTTACCTGTGTTGGATTCCAACTCCACGGACATGTGGCTTCCAAGTGACCAATAAATCGGAATTACAAGGTGACGAAGTTATGTTTGTGATTGATGGTTGACTTGGAACTAAAAATATATTTAAACCTGTATTCACCAGAACTGTTACATGTTTATATATATCTGTATATATATGTATATATATCTGTTTATATATATCTGTTTGTATATCTTTCAAGACATAACAGCATTGCAGATTTCATTATTAAAGAGTAGTTGAGAAATAACGAACAAATAAACGGTTCCTTCTGGCCAATAAAGCAAAAGTATTTGCTTATTATAAAATTTTATTTATATATTTATCCATCCGTGCACAACAACTGTTATATTAATTAAGTCGAATAATCAAGTAATAACAAATGAACTGTGTCGATGTTCAACCTACATTAAAAAAGCAATTTATTTGGTTTATTAATAATTTTTTCTATATATATGTGCATTTTCTCACCTTTAACATCAAGGGTTCGGGAAAATTCGTAAAACTTTTGTCCAACTGTATTTGATGCGAAACATTTATATTGTCCTTCGTCTTCGATTGTCAATTGTTTTAGATTTAAGACTAAATTTTTTCCAACTTTAGCTTGGTTATTGTTTGATGTTGAATGGAGTACAGTTTTTCCTTTCATCCATTTAACAGTCGGTGGTGGGAACCCAGATGTCAAGCACGTTATTTCTTTCGTGCCAGTATATGAATCCACAATGAAGTTAGGTATTGATAATTGCATATCATGCGGTCCAGCTGGAAATTTTTCGATAAATAAAAAAATAAATATTAAGATGAACTAAGATTTTATTTTTAATAAATCACTTTTCAAAGAAGTTTATGATATAAATTTTATTGTCCCCTAATATATTTGATACATTTTGGATATTAATTATATTTTATTCATATCCGGGACATTGTGGAGAAAACTTCGAGATTAATTAATTAAACGAATTAAATTCAAACAAAAACTTGAATAAAGTTTCATTTAATTAGTTTTATTTTACCTTGTTCGCAAATGTAGTAATGCTTGTCAGTACAATATGTGGCTTTCGACTTGTAATCTTTCAACGTTAGCGAATAGCACCTAGAATCTACGTATTGTCCCCAGATATTAACATCATTGCTGATATGGCTAAAATCATGAATTGAAATATAGTCATAAAATAAACACATTTGGTTTTATTCTGAGTAATATTCATTTTCATTATTTACTTACTCAGAATTTAAATAGGACTTGATCAGAGCTTGTGTGGCCGATGTCAGTTTTAAAATTCGTGATTGAATATTTGCACATTCTGCACGAGCTGTTTCATAAGTAACTTTAGGGTGAGGTCTTCCAATTGCAGTCAGTCTGTATATTCCCGAGGAAATTGTAAAGGGTATCGCTAAAACAAAATATAAATGTACAAAACTATAGTTGTTTGATGTTGTTTTGGTTTACAAAAAACATATTTCTAACAATTATTATTTTGTTCAAACCCCTGGGTTTACACTCCTTCAAAAACAGTGTGTCAAATTGAATTTACCCAAATGAGACAAACATGCTACTTTGAATCAGTGCAATATACTAAAAATGTAAATTCCGTAAATAAGAGGGGAAATTATTTGAATAGGCGTTTAAAAACATATATATGTCATGATTGAATTGCTGACCTTTCATGCATATGACTCCTCTATTGTGATTCGAACTATAATCATAAAATTTTCCATATCTGTCCATTCCGAGATAATTTTGTGCCCTTCCTCCATTTGGTTGCCCTGTATTCCTATAAATTATCAGAACGGCAAAAACAAGTATAATGGATATTTTAGCTTGGGAAAAAATAAATATATATTTATGTTTGAAAGCCTTTCATAATTAAATTTTTTTTAAACTGTGACCGAGAGCAATCGTCGGCAAATATTATCTTATTAGTAATTAGGAGTTGATTGGAAACAAATTTTGTTTTTTGAAAGAACAGTGCAAAATATGTTTCGCAGAAAGTTATATTGATCTTCTATAAAGAGCATATTTCTACCAAGTAATCGAGGCTGAAGATCCATCCATCCATTTCCAATGTCCTTCTGAGGCTTCATCTGTTGCCCCAATCCAATAGTTGATAACCAACCCGGAACTAAAACATATATATTAGATATTATATTAGACATATCTTAAAAGAAAAAATCCCTGACAATATTTTAATGAGCCACATTGTCCAATTATGCAACCAAAACACTTATATTATGGCATGGATTCGTGATAAATCCAAAGGCACACGCTGCCGTCGCATTCTCATGAGAACAGAATTGTGGATGCGCAACATCTGAAATTCGAGGAATTGTGGCAGTATTGAAAAATCCCTAATATTTAAGCACTTTTGAACGTTTCTCCCTGGCGCAAATTTGACCACCAAATCCCGGACATGTCAGGGAGAAAAGTGACGTATTGCAACCCTATATTAGATTGTTCCGTAACATAAAATGGACCTCCTGAAGTATGCGCACTAAGATGGCGCACAACCTAAACTCAGGTTGTGTACCAGGTTATGGTCCAGGTTGTGTGACATCTTGGTGCGCATACCTCATGAGCGCCCATAAAATTTATGCAGATGAAAGAGCCGCATTCTGACGTTTAAATTACCCCATTGAATAAATTGTAAACGTGATGAAACGTGGTTTTTGGTTAATTAATGTGTGTAATCACTCAATCTCAAGTCGTAATGAACAACTATTGAAATATTTTAACATATATTTAGACATATTCCTTGATAATATATTGATATTCAAACACCGGCTACAATTTAAAATATATCTCACAAAAGAAACACTTAATCAAAATATGATGTATATTTGCAAAACATCGCAGAATATTTGAAAGAAATTTTTAACAGATGAAATCTATTATTTACCACAGTATTTACATACAAACATATTTAATATATAATGTAGCAATCGCAGCTTTATGTAAGAGGCATTTCGCGTTTTCCCAATTACGCAACATTTATAATATTTTCTAAATCTTGTAGATGACCAACAATATATGAATCATTTTTTCCTGTTCATTTCGATAGAAAAAATGTTCCTATTTTAAACAATTTATGCAACCTAGACAATACATAATCACAAAACGAGCTAATTCACAGTATTCGTAAAAAAATACTGTCTACAAATACCATGAGAAAACCCTGTTCGTAGTTTATTAGGTGAAGCTGGTTATTATAAGAGTATATATATATAAATCACCACCTCGTGACTGTGTTAAGAACGTCATTCTTTATGGAGGTAACATCAAGTTGAACAAGACTAGATCTGCTGCTCTCACACAAAGATTTTGCCTGATACCAGGTAGAGTCAGTGTTGTAAAACGTGAGTATATAAAAAGATCTGTTCACTGTCTTCCAAAGTCCTGAAAAATAATAATTTTAACACAAATATTATTTGTTTATGACGGAGATTTATAGATTTTTGTGAAAGATCACGATAACATTAGAGACGCCAGTTGGGATAATATTAAAAAAAATTATCTACTTCAAAATCCAAAATTCATTAAATGCCTAAGACACAACCACAAGCATAATAACAAAAAAATACAAAAATATTGATATTAATTTACTAATTGCTGAGTAAAATGTGACATTGCATAATGACTATATTTTAATTTTACAAATAATAATTAACAATAAAAACAAATAAAATTCAAAATCCCCACTACCTGCACTTGATGTTGCAAGAAATGTTAACAAAACAAACCAGCAATTGTACTCATGCATCTTCGTTGCGTCAAATTGCCATGATTGAGATATCATCTGTCATGAACTTTCTAAGTGAAGCTATTCAATTTATTTGGCAATTTATCATGAAACCTTATATCAGCAAAAAGCGACTACGAAATAATTACATGTTGTCACAATCACTCCAAACATTACACATTGTATGTATATGTTTCACACCCCACGCACCACAGATTGACAACATTGAGAGATTCCTGACATATGTATACACATTACTTTATGAGTCTATGTGGATTTGCTTTGATAATAAGCAATGTTCGATAAAAGATCTACGTCAGTGTTCTATTACTTCCTATGGGCGAAATATGAATATTCAATAATATCTGGTGAATTTCAGGTAAATTACTTACGTTACCGGACTGGACTTTTGGACCGAAATGGATTTTTGATACCGACACACATATATATATTTGTAGTACAGGTTTATTATAGAAATATGGATTTTATTCTTTTTTTTATAATCCGTGTTATACATTGTATTCTATTCATTGGGCTATGATGTTGGTTGTTTCATATTACTGATATTTAAGCATTACTGGCTATTTTATGAACATTCTTGCCTGACCCTAGTTATACTTACTTCGGTAATAAGCATTGTGTTTATTATGATGTGACGTGTGGCGTATGATGGCGTTTCAACATTTATTATAGGTGAAACTCAAATAACCAGGTATAAATAAGAAATATATATAAGTACTGGCATTATTATGATTAATATGAGAAGTGATATATAGGATATTTGTATGTTCAAACGGTGGAGCGTCGCTGCACTATCAATTACTCAGGAAATTTCAGTAAATTTAAACAAATATCATTTAATTAACATTCATGATAATGCAAACATGCAAAGTTGAACACAGGTAAGAAATGAACTACCACATTAATTGAGAATAAACCGTAGCTTAAGCATATTAGTGATAAATGCTTTAATCTATTTCAATTTTAATGTCCTTTTAGAAATAATATTCAAATAACAACGCGATAAAACTGATTCTAATAGAGTCCGTGTTATCTTTTACGTTTAAAAACAAATGTTGTTTTATGAATTTCAGTGTTTTGCACTCTTGCATCTTATAAAATGTATTATACTACTCAGTCATTCCGAGAGCAGGACTGCCATTGATTATAATCATTCGATTAAGATCAGTCAGATCACACTATATTCTATTAGTTTTTTTTTTCTACAGAATGGCATGTTATTTTAATTGATATATATTCAAAATTTCAATGATATTCAATTTATCACTGAATGTCTGTCTGAAAAGTGAAAGTTGAACAACTAAATGTTAAACAATGAAAACAATTACATGTACATTAATATAATAATATATTATTTCAAAGGTCAAACAATTTCATTATTTTTGGAATAGTACAAAAAGTGCCATTCTTTTTGTGAGTCTGTCTGTATTTATGTTTAATGTAGCCGTTCATTTTCAACGTATTTTCTACTTTGCATGCTTGTTTAGGCATAGATGTTGAATGTCAAAGATTAAAAATGATATAATCTTAGATTAAGTACAATTACCAAATAAAAATAATTACTGGTAGAAACTAAATGTTAAAAACGATGCTCCACCATTAGGTCGTAATATAAATACGTTAATTTCATATTAATCATAATAATGTTGGTCATTTATAACTTTTGCTTATACTTTGCACAGTTAGTTGAATTCCACCTAAATAGAATATTGGAAAGTTGGCATCAAAATTTCAATTCAATCATATTGTTTAACAAACACAAACAATAATATATGAATTTATAGCCACATCTTTTGCGTGGTTTGTGAACATGAACACACAATGTTAGATGTTTGCAGCCAAGTATTGAAATTGGTAGCAAAATATAATTATATTGTTGTCGACATTTGTTAACGCCAAATTAAGATTCTATAATGTGAATAGCAAAACTAAATAATATAGCGTGATTTCTCTTTGAAACGGTTATTGCAGATATGACGCATTGTTATTAAAAATGGTTATTTGATGCAAAAAGGATGCTTGGCTGCAATTGCTGGTTTGTCCTGTTAACATTCCTTGCAACATCTAGTGCAGGTATTGAAAATTCTGAATCATATGTCTTGCATTGTTAAATTATGATACGTAATAAAAACCCGTTTTCATTACTAATGATGCTCTGTAGTTAGTAAATTGTTCGCGACCGCGACCAAAATGTTGTAACATAGCAATTTGAGTTATGAAATAATTACTTTTGATGTTATCTCACCTGAAATCCGTCACGTCCAGTTTTATTTTTAAATATTGCCAACAAAAATATTTAGCCAAGTCAACAAATAGTATTTGTGATCATTGATTTTTATTTTTAGGACTTTGGAAAACAGTGAACAGGCGCTTTTACAAACTCATCTTTTACAACACTACCTTTGAAAGGCTACAAGCAAATTTTTTTTGCTGGATCAGAGGATTAAGTATTGTTCAACTTGATGTTGGCTCTATAATAAATGACGTTAATAACACAATCAAAAGGTCATGATATATTTAATATATACTCTAATAGTCATCAGCTCTGACATCGCTGATATATATGTTTGAGAGATTTAATCTGCAGAAAAAATACTGCAGAAGTTGAAACAAGTTTTTTGTGCGATTTTTTTTAAATACACATTATATTTGTTTAAAACGGCAAAAAAGAAATGACGTGCATGACATCTGGGTTTCCACCACCGACTGTTAAATGGATATAAGGAAACATCACACTTACTTCAAAGCCATTAAATTACCAATCCAAAATAGGACAAAAATTAGTTTTGGATCCAAAACAATTGACAATTGCAGACGAAGGACAATACAAATGCTGGGCATCAAATACAGTTGGGCTAACTTCTTATTCGTTTTCACGAACCGTCAATATAACACGTGTGAGTAATAATAATGTTGAGCATAAAATGAATCCATACATAAATAGAAGTAATCTTATTTCAACAATTACGTTGGCTCTATTGAGCAGGACGAAAACCACAAAATTCACTGCATTGTACATTATCATAACAAATTCAGACCATTTATCCGCTATTGCTTTGCTCGTGCAATTTAATAACTTAATCTTTAATAGTATGTGTTGAAGAAAATACAAACAAATCTGCTAAATACAACTTTAAAAATACATTCAGTTCCAAGCCAACTATAAATCACAAACAATACATCGTCACCTTGCAATTCTAATTTATTGATCACATGTTCGTGGAGATGGTACCGAACACAGGTATATCTACATACATCTGGCTGATCCTAATTAAACTTCTAAATAAATTGTAGGTTAAACGAGTTCTAATGCCAGTTCCCTCATTTTTCAAATAAAATGCTTTAAACATTCGTTATTTATGCTTACTTTATATGAAGCTTCCAGAATTCTTTAACTTTTGGTCGTTTATGGTACGTCAGTGTGTTAGATCAACTAATCATATTTTCCAAAAATGCCATGCCATAACTTTCGTTTGCTAATGTTTGTCAGTAATTTTGAATGTTTTTAACAAGTCGGGAATTGATATCCCGTAGAATTCGGATTTAGGATCCTATCAATAGCAACATTTATAAAGTTTTCTTTACAACGACGAATGATGTCATTATGCGATCCACCGTGGCAGGTCTGCAGCCATCAACATTTTAATACTATTAAGGTAAATTTATTAGAAAGAATATATGGAATAACCTCTTAGCAGTCATATTCCCGAGACTTTTTTTCATTTCAAATTGTTTCCACATACAGCCATAAAGCACCAAGTCGTATTGCTATCGTGAGAACCTGACTGATATACCAGGTTTGGGTGATAGCTAAGACTCAACATATTTTATTCTACAACTATACTTCGATATTTCTTCATTTTGATTCACACGAGTTCCATTCATGTAACCATTTCCCAATTCCGAAAGTAAAACTATCAGATTCGCAGATATCGACAACTATAGTTACGTAACCCGTACTGGTGTTCCGGTGGCAAAAAAGGAACATCGAAACAAAGTTTTAGAAAATAACCTTGACTTAGGAATTCGTGTTTAGATTGAGCCTTGCTCAACTCCGTCAACTTGCTCTAGCCATTATGCAACAACCACAAACGCAAACACTGAATGTCTACACGGTCCTGTTACAAACCCAATCCTGGAGATGCCTTATAGTGGCCTTTGCAATGTATCTTTGTCGCCAGTAGTACATTCGAAATATATATTTGATTTTAAAGTTGGTCTATAGTATACTGTTTACTTTGACCTGTGGCTCGCTATATGACAAGACGAATTGGATAGTTTAATATTGAGATACAACAATTTGTTTAATACAGTATAATTATATCAATATGTTTTGTTTTTGCAATTACGTTGGATCTTAAAAGCATTTTCATTACCGTATTCTCTTCGTTTTAAACTTTTTTTTTCGTCTCTACAAGAGCCAGGAAGCTTACAGACTTTAACAGTGATTTCAAAAGATATGAAATACAGCTACAGTTTTCAATAGAAATTACAATGTCTCTATTCGAGCAAAAACTTGTGCAGGGTTTGGACCAGAGTCAGGGGCGATAGGGGGGAATGTGTTAACGATACCAACGGTGAGGAATTTGAAATTTCATTCACGATGTGAGATTTTTAAATGTTTATGGCATATATCACATAGACTTGTTAACTCTTATATGCTTAATTATCTGTGCTAGTGATATGCATATTTTGAATGCTGGAAATCATTACGTTTCGATTAGTGAACAAACACATTTTTCACCATAGTACGAAAAATCAATAAACCCCTATATACCGATAAGAAGTACTTCTAGCAGATTATGAAAAGATTTATGTTATATTTGCAGTACCATCTATTCTACAAGCACCTGCAACCGATGAAAAAATAACTGACGATAGAAATTTAGCGATTACAATAAACGTTCCAGATGAAACCAATGGCACAGTGAGGTAGTTAGTTTATCTGAAGTCGCTACTTATTACTTATCGATTTTAATCGGTAAGTATGTTTATAGGTCTTACTCCATAGTGACACCTTGTGTCTCATCACTAATTAATTAATAGCTCGCTTATTATATGACATAATTCATCCAAAATCAATAGGCTTCTGATCCGACATATGATGAATGCACATGCAAAATCTGGAGCAGATTTAAGCTTGCTTTCGTGAGATATCGCGTGCATCTAACAGACAAACAGACAAATACCTATCAACATACTTACCGATTAAAATCGATAAGTAATAAATGCCTTCAACCGATTTTCATTTTAATGTAGTTTGGTTGGTTCAAACCTATTGATAACTATATATTAGAATTGATCAAGTATATTGATCAAATATTTATATATTTCCCACGTTTATGATATATATGTTTTTATTTTCAGCATTGAATCAAATCGTTCTTCCATCAAT